GCTTTCGCAACACCAATTAGAATAAACTAGATATAGTGAACGAGGAATGAATCATTCTTTTTTACTATTTACATTAGTTACTATAAATTCAGCATAAACTGTAACAAAGTTTTTATAAATATCTTACCTAGATTGGAGCAATGACCGTCGAATCATGACCTCTTCGATTTTTTTCCTGATAATTATATGCCTTTATAACATCATCGAAGTATCAATTATGATTACATTAAAATTTTAAAATGGCATGAATAAAATTAATCAATCATAATTTTATCAGGTACGATGCTGATCACCAGCACAAATCAAGAAACTGATCGACCAAGAAATCAATGATTATTTACTATATCTAGAATTTTCACCACTTCTGCAACAAAGACTAGTAGTAGTAAGAGATTTTATCTGTTAGTTCTAAGTGCCTGATGATTGTCGATTTTAAAGTTTCCTCCAATTGATCAGAAAGTCAATGTGGGTAACTATGTTTTTTTATTCTAACCTTAAAACTTATAGATAAGTCATCGCCGCATCTTGTTTTATTTTATATTACACTAGTTGCCATTTTAGGTATTTTGATTGGGCTTGCTATAATAATTTGCTTCTGCTGTATTCGAAAATCTGGCGAGCGTATTAATATGCATGGTCATGCTGTAATGGAACTGACAAGTGCTGGTAGCTCTACTGGCAATAAACCTTCCGATCATTATAGTCCCAATGATAATATTTGTGAGAATGAAGGTAATTTACAATTACCAATAGCAACAAATCTATCTGGAAGTGTTGAGCAAAATTCTGCCACAACGTTTTTATCATAAGGTACTAGTCAGTTGCAAGATAGACTAGACAGTAGAAAAGCAATTGACAGTAATGCCAAAGTTAACCTGCAGTGTACAAAAAGACGTTTACAAGATCAAGAAAATTCTGGTCAAAATTCGAAAAGAAGTCAAATTATTGCCCAGCAAGGTCCATCTGACGATCCTATTAAGTCTACTTATTTGCCTCAGAATCCAAGTACGAAAAATGATCATACTGATTATGTCTATAATTTTCAGGAATTTGATTATAACTTTGAGCGTTAAGAAAATTCCAATTCTGCTTTCCCAGTCCCTACAAATCAATTGCAAAGTCCTGATGCCAACAGGGTGGGTAGTGTATCGCGTAGAACAGCTATTGCGAATAGTAATAATTATAGTGGGAGACATTTCAGTTTCAGGTCTAGAACTAATATCACAACAAGATTAATGAATAGCTCTCAAGATATATAGTGGCGCTATGAACTTTATTGGACAAAGTGGACCTAGCTTACTGATTTTAGCTTCTGGTCTTGACAATCAAATTTTAACATCTTGTTCGTTCCGATCAAGTTTTGCAGATTCAGAAAATGAAACTGCTTCTTTTACCAATGGAAATATCAGCACTGTAGGCTTGGGTTTACTTCACGAGTATCCTTTTTAAAAATACTTATCATATGAACGGATATTATACTGACTTAAGTAGGGGTTTAGCCGAGCTAACTGTAACACCCAATTTACCTTCTCAACGTTTCGATGGTTATTATCAGACGTGGAGTAGAGAACGGCAAGAAAGGAGGGGAAATATAGCATGTCGCTCAACTGAGAATTCACCTACATCAGAATTTGCTAATAGCGCCAATAATTCAGGAAGCATCATTTCTTTAACTGACGTTTATCCCATTGAAAACAGACAGGACCAATTTCATTAATCAACAAGACTTGCTTTTTCTCCAGATCTATTATCCGCAAATCAAAATGGCATCAGCAGTTTTAGAGAACAGACGTTAATTGGAAGAAATCTATGTTGTAATTTTATACAAATAACCACCACGATTTTATGTGAATTGCGGCGCAGTAAATGTGCGTTATAATATAGGAAATACCATAATTATATCGCGTTTGCTAATAGTTTAGTATATCCTGTAATGAAAGGGAGCAGTCCAAATATGAACGCTGCGAATATTACTTTTAATGTGATGCTGAATAGACTATGCATCATTAAATTCGCAATTTTGATTAGTCTTCAAATTAAACTTGATTTCAAAACTAAATTGGTAATGCTGCCTTATACCAATTGATTCATACGTAATCTAATTAAGATAGTTGTGATTTATGTGGTATTTTTTTACTCAAAATTACTCACTTGATTGTATAATGATCGATTTAAAGCAATTGATTCTACTTAAGGCTGAATATAGAGGTGATGAATTTGTTAATAAAAATATTTCGTAGAATAGAGTACGGATTGCAAAAGAAAATGAGGTTTTAGTGCAATTATTGCTTTGTGAGCCCTTTAAAAGAGTGGTTTCTTAAGTGCTACAGTAGTTGAAATACAATCATATGACATCTTGAAGCAGATTAAGGAGTAATGCGTAGCAGTAGCTAATAGTAAGCGATCAACTTGTATTCTGATCGAGTAGACTCGTCAGATACAAGTCCTTTGCAATTCTGTTTAAGCATTTAATTACTCGTAGATATCAAATTTAACGACAAGAAGTAACCAATTAGAATACTAACGACAAATTTAAAATATTGATATATTGAATGTGAAATAGGTTATCTGCATAGTCGGTATAAACAATAGTACACAATCTTCTTTGACTGTCATATAATATACTCTTCAACAGTCAAGTGTTTTATGCATAGCTGCATAGACACGTAATATTACTTACCCAATATAAGCATTATACTCCGTAGTTAATTGCCTTACATTAGGTATATGCTATAGAAGTCTACATAATACACTTTAAGGTAAAAGTACGGTATATGCCTTACTATGAACTCCTGTTATCCTGCTATTCGGTCTACTAATCTTGACTTGTTCTTTTACAGTACTGAACCAGTTGTTTATATGCAGCAAAATAAATTAAGAATTCAGTTCTATTACAATCCTTCATCATGTGCTTATCGTTTACTGATGATTACTCTCCTTGCTACCTATTCCTAATAAACTTAATTCTTTCCTCAAATTTTACCCTTCATTTTCTTACTAAAATTTATATGGAAAGATATCAAACTCTTAACAAGAAGTTACTCAACATCGTTAAGAAACGGCTATTTACTGCATGAATATTTATAACTTATTGGCTATCGTCTAGGTAACCACATATCGTATTATACCTGACTCTAGGTATAGTGGACATAGGGAAATACTTTATAGGCATTGTATTGAAGTAAATTATTTTCGAGCCAAAATAGGATAGGATATTTTGTTTCGACCTTAGCATCTCTTGGTCAGAAATTTTAATTTACTGTAAATTTTTAAAAGAAATGACAATTAATAAGGAACTACAATTACTCCTATACGCATTATCGTAATGAACATAATTTGGAAAAGCTCAGATTCATAAGGATAATATTGCAGAGATTATATTTCCTACTTTTATCATAAATATCAGGTAGAACTCAACAATGTGCCGGAAAATTGTCATTTGTTTTGTCATCTGAACTTTAAAAGCTCCAGTGAGTACTTAATAAGAATAAAGATAGCCTAGTTAAATTTTCTATACAACAAGGTTTTTAAGAGGAATAAGTTATAATATTAAGTGCCCAATCAAATCACTCCGAGGTACAACTTCTATTAATTACTTAGTATTGATGATTCTAGGGATATAATTCTAAGCATAAACACAAGCATTGGATAACAATATGATGTAATCGTCATCATGATAGACTTAGACTAAACGTGGATAGGATATCCTTTTAAGTATTGTTGAGGTGATGAATTTTAAATCTTTATCAAGTGTCTTGCTAGTATAATTATTATTTACATTAGAGTTGTTTGGATACCCACAATCACAGGTGGATAATCAAAGTTAAAAGTCCCCAGATGAGTCATAATTAAAGCAAATACCTATCGATACAAAGGGCTGCAGAGGTGTAATACCATCAAACATAAAGTTTAAAGCTGCCTGTTATCATTCACCGGTACTTTTAGGATCTTAAAGCATGGATCTTTATCGCTCATACTAGCTCTCTATGCAAATAGACATTGGCATGTGAGCAATTTCTATTCCACAAAGATTCAATTTAAGTAGATAAGATTGTATTGAGCAGATGAGTAAGTTAACATTTCAAGCAGGTATCACTAATTGCTTTATGGAGACGAAGCCTAGCTTTAAGAAATCATTCAACTAAATCTATGCCTTGATATTTGGCTTGTGAATCTTTATTTTTATTATGTATATAATCAAACTATTTGGTCGTTTAAGTTAGAGCAAATGCTTAGTAACGAAGAATGATAAGCTGTAAAATTAACATGCGATGATGATTTAATTGTCGATGATGTCATACTAATAGTATCGATCGCTCACATCTGGGTGATCTAATGTAGTCTAGGATATGATTTTTCTCGCTTAAGACTTGGGTATAAAAC